TTATTCATAATCACCCCAAACTGGAAGCAACCAAATGTTCAATGGGTGAGTGGATGAACAAACTGTGGAGGATACATATAATGGAATACTAGTCAGCACTAAAAAGGAACAAGAGAGCGATACATGGAACAACACAGATGGATCTCAAAGACACTACGTGAAAGTGAAAAAAAAAGTCAAACACAGAAGACTGTATGTGAGAGCATTTATGTGAAATTCTAGAAAAAGCAAAACTGTGACAGAGCGACCCAGTGGTTGCTTGAGGTTGGTGGGGGGAAAGGGGCGAGGGCACAGGGGCACAGGGATTTCTTAGGGTGAAGGGGTGGTTCTCATCTGGATTGTGATGGTGATTACCTGATTGTATACACTTGCTCAAACTCGTCCAACTGTATGCTGTAAATGCTGAACTTCACTATATGTAAATAATGCACGAATATAGAAATAAGCATTGAGTTCTGATGTGACAGCCTTGGGGAGACAGAACATTCTGATGAACGGGACTGGGGTGATGGGGCGGGAGGGCTGCTGCAGGGCATGGGGGCTCCCCTCTGTGATGCCTGGATCCAGTGATTTCTCCTTCACTGTGAACCCACCCGTTAGAACCCGGGTCCTAGTACAGCCAAGCCCCATGCCAAGAGGAGCTGTTAATATCATATCTATAGAGGTTTTTTTCCATCAGACAAATTTAGTGCTTTTTATTGTCATATTGATTTTTATTACAGCTGCAAAGGGAGGGGAGGAGAGGTATTATCATATATCAAATAGCAGATCAGGAGTGGTGAGGGCAAATCTACAGGAGAAAGCGTATGTGAAGCGGAGAGCTCACAGAAGACAGTGACAAATGGCGAGGGCTGTAGGTTTACGGGTCTGTTGAGGTTGTGGTCAGCATCGCAGTGTGAGTCCGGGCTTCTGGCACCGGAGAAGCCGCACAGATCACTGGGCACAGGATTAGAGCCCTAGTTCCCCAGCCTTCCGCCCCAGTGACTTCCCTTTATAACAGGCGTTTTTCGAGACCCTTTTTGCTATCCTGAATTTAATAATCTACCCATACACATGATTTTTTTTTAAATGAACACAATGCCTAATTGCAGAAGAAGGAGGAGGAGAAGCAAAAGGAGAGGAGTGTATAATAAAACAGCGTTCATTTCAACGTGCTTGAATGCTTGAGCACGATTATGCTAGAAAACACCATGGGCACAGACACGCATGTGTCTGCTCTGAAATGCAGGCTGGGAAGGGTGCGTTGAATTAGCGACTCAAATACCACCAGTGGCATTGCTGGTGGTGACATGATTTTCCCAGATGGCAAACAGCTCTTGGAAAAGTTCCAAGCGAAACACTATCAGTCAGGGTTCCAGACGCTAAAGGCCAGCAAAGGCAAATAAGATCCGTGGTGGAGAGCTCAGTACAGACGTGATTTGCAAAGATGAGGGCAGGGTGTAGGGGCCCTAGAGGGCTGATCTCTTAGCCTGGAGCTGGGGAAGTGTGTGTGTGTGTGTGTATGTGTGTGTGTGTGTGTTCCTGCATCCTATTCCCAGGAGCTGCATCTATCCTGAGGAGGGCCCAGAGACAGCATCTCGCCCCTTTGGGACCAGGAGTGAGAAAATTGGAGGATGGATGACCATGGTCCATCTTTTTCTCTTTGTCCACAGCAGGTTTCTAACAGAGCTGTTTTCTTGTAAAAACGTTTGATGGAAAGAGAGCTTAAATGATTTAAAACATGCAGGTGGGTGGGGGAGAACTGTCATAGGCTATCATAAATTGTTCAAGGTGACCTCTTGAAGCCCCTTCCGCCTCCAGCTGCTCAGTTTCAAATCTGACTTCTTGTTTCTAGTGTCTAGGGCTGCATGGGGACCCTCCCAGCCCCAGACCTCATTCAGATCCCTGCCCCCACACCTCCCCCCCACCAAGCTGAATTGCTGCGTTTCAGTTAATCCAGGGCAAGGTGAGCTGCATGTGAGTGGGAATGCAGAGACGTGAATTCCTGAAACAGATGAGGGGAGCAGGGGACAGCCCTGAGCCTCCCTCCTCAGCCTAGGCAGAAGGGCTCGGAGTCATCCAGGTCTGGGCCTTGGTATCCAAAAGAGCGTGAGATCAGCAGTGTGTGGGTGTCTTGCCCTTCCTGTTGAGCCCATGTATCTGCTGCAGCCTTTTACAGAAAGAGTCAGCAATTCATTCCAGTACCTTCTATGTGCCAGACACTGGCCCAGGTGTTGGGGACCCCGAGACAAATGGGGCAAGTCTGCACCTCCCAGGCATTCACAGTCTGGTTGGAGAACATGGAAAACTCAGAACCAGGGGTTAGGGAGCCGCTCTGGGAACATAGAGGAAAATAGCTCTCTCTTGCACACTGTTTTATAAAACAGAAAATTACTTTCTATTTTCTTCCCATTAAAGAAGTTTTAAAAAATATCAACCTGGGGGCACCTGGCTGGCTCAGTCGGTAGAGCATGCGACTCTTGATCTTGGGGTTGTGGGTTCAAGCCCCACGTTGGGTGTAGAGATTGCTTAAAAATGAAACCTTAAAAAAAAAAAATCAACCTGATGGGACATCAAGGTATTGGTCTGCCCAGGGTGTCCTCATGCCCCAGGCCAGCCTGGACTGGGCTTTCTTTGGAGTGATGCATCTGCCTCTGCACCCATCCCAGCTCCCACCCTCAGCAGCTTCCAGAGGTGCAATCCTCTAAGCCAGGCATCTCAGACTGACCGTGATCCTAGGGGTGGGGCTTTTGCAGATCAGGCCACAGTGAACTGGGGAGCACCGTCTGTAGTTCAGCCAAGGGAAAATCAAGAGGTAAATCCAAGCAGGTCTGGACTCACCAGGAGCAGATGGGGAGAGAGGGATGAAGTGGGAGGTAGGGAAGCAAGGTCAGGTTGAGCACTGAGCGTCATCCTGGTGACTTAGTACAGGGTGCCTGTGGTCACAGGAGGGGACACGTTCTGAGGCTTATTGGGATCACCTGGGGGTGTACATTTGCAAAGGCAGCATGCACCCAACCTTTGCTGTGGGCCTCCTCGGTGCCGGGCACTGTGCCAGATGCTGTCTCCATGCCGTAGATCCTGCTCTGCTCAGCAGGTCATAGGCTCCTGCCTCCTTCCCACAGAGAGAGCAGCTGTGAGTGAGCTCTGAGATTGCTTTTCATTTTACAACTTGATAAGAATGACATACATGACGTAGGACAATTCTTCATATAGATAAAAACCCCTTCAGACAAGAAATGATGGATAAAATCCTACTAAAGAGAAACCCAATGGGCTAATGAGCATGTGGAAGTATGCTCAGCTTCCCTAAGTAATCAGGTATGAACACTAAAATTAGATACCCTTGTGTTTTCATCTATCAAAATATTTTTAAAAGACAATTCTCATTTGGTGAAGTTTTGGCAAAATGGGCAGGCTCAGACATGGCTAATGTAAACATTAATCAACTGGGGCATCTTGTCAATGTGTGTCAAAAATCTTGTGCATAATACTGGTCTAGTAATTCCATTTTGGAAGAGGATGAGGATTTGTGCACAAGCATGTTTATCATATATGTAGAGGACACAAATTGGAAAGTACCTGAATGCCCAACAAGAAAACAGATAAAATAACGGATCTCTCTGTCTCTTGTCTCTGTCTCTCTCTTTGTCTCTCTCTCTTTCATACACATACACACACGCACACACATACATTACCACACAGAGAGACTGTGAGCTTAATTTTGTTTTTAAATATAATATTTATGCCTTTTTTCTCTTGTTCCCGCTTTATATATATCCAGAGAACAAAGGACTGGTAAGAAATGCACCGAAATATATTTATTTGGGGATGGTAGGGATATCTCCACTTCTTTAAAAAATTTTTTTCTACAATGAATTTGAATTCGTGTTATTATCAGAAAGAAAATTATTTTAAAAATAATATTTTTAAAAATAATGAGGGCACAGGGCAGAGTGGCAGGGGAGGGACCTCCTGGACCTAGAATGGCAAGAGAGGATTTTTCCCTGGGACCATCAGAAGGAACATAGGTCACCTTGATTTGGAATGTCCAGCCTCCAGAACTGTGAGAGAATAAATTTCTGTTTTGAGCTCCCCCCTTCAGCGCCACTCTGCCAAGTGTGCCAAGGCACCCGCCCCATACTCAGCACCTCAGAATGGGAAATGGGTGCCCTGGGGTGGGATGTGCCCGTCCCCAGGGCTCTGAGGAGGTGGGGAAATCTGAGGAGGGCTGAGGGTCAGTGTCCTTGTCATAGCTTTTCTGGCAGTCCAGCCACTTTGCCAACATTCAAGGAGGGACCCTTTAAAAAAAAAAAAGAAAGAAAGATCCCAACCAATCAATTCTGGAAAAGCTTCAAAATGCAACACCACTCCCCACTGAGCCCCCCGATTCTGATTCCCAATCAGCTCCCCACAACTGGAGACCTACCTTAAACCAGAGGGGACAGCCTGATGCCTGGTCAGGGCTGCACAGGAAAGGGCCAGAAGGTGTGGGAGGGCAGGGCTCAGGGTCCTCCCGGGGGGCGGCGTGGCTACGGGGACAGCCTTTCTGTGAGGACAGGAGCACTTGGAAATCTGGGTCACTTCAGAAGCCTCCCCACAGGAGCGAGCAGCTGTTCGAGAGGAGGCCTGCAATGCGCTCCGAGTTCACCCCCCACCCCGGCCTGAAAATAGCCTGGTCCTTCTCCCCGGTGAGAAACAAGGTTCAGCAATAAGGAATTTGGGAAAGGCTTCCCCGGGATCACTGCAGCGGCTCCTGCTGGCAATCCAGAGACAGAGGACCGACGTCCTGCCCTCCAGGGCGCCGTGGGGGAGAGAGAGCTGGGCTTTGAATGCTGGAGTTTCCCAAGTGGGTCCTTCCATATCCCTTTCCCACATCTTGCTGATGAGAAGCCTGCAGTACAGGGAGGATGGTTTGCCCCGGGGCCCGGAGCCCTCAAGAAATCTCACCATCGACGGGGGGGGGGGGGGGGGGGGGGGACCGGCACCAGAATTCATCTCCAGGTTCCATGTTCCTTCCTCTGCGGACACAGTATGTTCACACATTCCCAGGGACAGAGGGAGGCAGCGGGAACCCCGGGCCAAAGCTTCAAGGGGATCCCTGTTGAGTTCCCACCGTAGCAGCAAGACGGACATCTGAGGGCCCCGAGCACCTGCGGGGTTGGGGGGCAGAGCACAGAACCTCAAGTGTAGCCGTCTGACACTATCTTCAAAGACGTAAGAGCGAAGGGTCGAAACCACGAACCACTCCTCACGACTTTACCGCTGTGGTTCACAGAACTATCATGGGGAGGGGGTGGGGCTGGGGGGAGGGGCTTAAAAGTCCTGAGGTCTTGTCCCAACCGCAGGGATTCTGCCCCACCGCCGGCCCGGTGGGGCCTGGGTCTGGGGTGTCAAAGCTCCCGGGGGGTTCTGAGAGCAACCACAACGGTAGACCACTGTTTTAGAGGCTTCCAGGTTTTCAAAATCCTGTGCTGGTGTTTCTCCTCCTTTGAAGGATTATACAAGGAGCCTCGGGATCTGTAGGCAGGACATGAGGTTAGCATCAGACCACCGCAGAGGCCCACGCAGGTCTGGGTGAGGAGAGCAGTCTCAAGGGACACTGGGTGCGTATGTTTTGTGTGTGCGTAAATTTAGGAATAATTTCCGTGTCACAGAATTGACCCTTTGAGGTTTACAGTTTATGACCGTTTTGACAGATGACTAGAATAGTGTGACCATCAGCCACAACCAAGATCTAGAAAATTCTATCCCCAAGAAATCGTCTCAAGAGACACATTTGGATGCAGTTCCAGTGGCATGATTGGGGGCAGAGGTTCCCCCCGCCCCTGTCCCCAAATTCTCTGCCCCCACCCCCAAATTCTCTGCCCCTCTGAAAGTTGTGTGTGGAAGGCACCTGTTTCTGGCCCAGGAAACTTCTCTGATAGTAGGAAGTCATTATTCTCCAGCAGCCCCGCTCTGCCTCGTTAGAGCTTCTGTTGAAAAAGCCAGGTTACTGATGTCACTTTTCTTGCTTCAGAGTCCAATTTTCCGGACCCAGACAGCAGCCACAGTCAATACTTCCCACGATGGCTAGAGCCACTGCTGGTGGCAGAAAAACATTCACCGGCTACCCAGAGCAATTATGAGTGCTCTCCTCACGCAGCTGTCCCCGGCTCCTGAGAAAGCGTTTAATTGGTTTGGAGGTCGCAGGATCCTCTTCCAATTAGGGTCCCACCACCTGCGCTGGGGACAGTCCAGACCGGGCATCATCGTAGGACACACAGCCGTCCACTCTTAGAAACAGCGATGATAGTCCTTTAGCCATTGTCTGGCTCCTTTCAAAGGGCAGACCGCTGTGTAGGCTGGAGCTCATCTTTGTCTCCAGGTCAATTATTTGGGAATCAGGATGGAATGAGCAGAATCAGAATTTTCGACTCAGCCTCTTCCCGTTTTCCAGAGCAGCCACCGTAAGGACAGAACAGGGTGGCCAGGGCAGCAAAGGGCCTGGGAGAGCTTCTCTTTTAGCTCTAATGGAAGGAGAGTGGCCCACCCAGGGGCCCATCAGCATGGTTTCCAGGCCTGGGAGGGGACCCCGTGACAGGCTAAGTGGCAGGAACACCATAAACAGGGAGCAGTATGTGTGTGGACAGTACATTTAACAAAATGTTCCCATTAGAGGGGACTTTTGAGAAAGTGGGGAGGGCCAGGATGGGGCTTCGGTCACAGGGGGGACGTCAGCAAAATGCCCACTCACATGGATCCTCCTCCACAAAGCGCTCCTGTAAGTGATGTCTGCTGTGCTCCCGGGCCCCTGGCGATGGAAGAATGGCTCAGTGCTCCCCTGAGTCCTGGAATGACCTTGGTTACAGCAAAGCCTCCCAGACAGACCAGAGCTGGGCGTCTTCAAAGGGAGCTCAGCGGCTGACCCTGCAGTGGAGAGGGCTCGTCTGGACCCCGGCTCACCCCCAACACACTTGGTTTTTTGTTTTCTGTTCTGATTGGCATTTTTTTTAAGATTTTATTTATCTATTTGTCAGATAGAGAGAGAGAGCTCAAGCAAGGGGAGCAGCAGAGGCAAAGGGAGAAGCAGGCTCCCGGCTGAGCAAGGAGCCCAATGCGGAGCTTGATCCCAGGACTCTGGAATCATGACCTGAGCAGAAGGCAGATGCTTAACTGACTGACCGAGCCACCCAGGCATGCCTTTTTTTTTTTTTTTAACACTTTGTTTCTAGAGCAGTTTTAGGTTCACAGTGAAATTAAAAACAAGGTACAGAGATTTCCCATTTGCCCCCCACTCCACCTCCATGCACAGCGTCCTTATCAACATCCCCCACCAGAGGGCTACACTCATTAGGACCAATGAACCTACAGCGATACATCACCATCCCCCAAAGTCCACAGTTTACATTAGGGCTCGCTCTCGGTGTTGGACTTACTATGGGTTTGGACAAATGTGAAATGACATCATCACAGTATCATACAGAGAATTTTCACTGCCCTAAAAATCCCATGCTCTGCCTATTCACCCCTCCTCCCCCAACCCCTGGCAACCACTGATCTGTCTCCATAGTTCTGCCTTTTTTGCTGAATGTCATGTAGTTGGACTCATACGGAGTGCAGCCTTTTCAGATCGGCTTCTTTCACTTAGTAAAATGCATTTACGTTTCCTCTGTGTCTTTTCATCGCTTGATAGCTCATGTTCTTTTAGCACTGACTACTCTTCCCTTGTCTGGATGGACCACAGTTTATTTACCCATTCACCTCCTGAAGGACATCTTGGTTGCTTTCAGGTTCAGGCAATTACGAATAGAGCTGCTGTAAACATCTGTGTGCATGTTTCTGTGGGGAACCAACATACTTGTTTTTCACTAGAGTGGGGAGAGGAATCATTGTGCTATTTGTTCACATCTACCAGGGAGACAAACAGTGCCTCAGTGATAGCCAGGCCCCCTCCTCTGTCTCTCGGAGTCTCTGTTCTTGCTCCTCCACCCACTGTAAGCCCCATCCCACCCAAACCTGCATGCTGTTCAACAGCTCAGATGACACTGTGCCCTATTAGGAAGCAATGTCTCTTTTCCTCGCACCCTTTTAAATAGCCTTCTAATTTGAGAATCATTTTAAATTCACAGGGAAGTTCAAAGATAGTAGTGCGAGTTCCCATATATGCCACACCCCGCATCAGCTATGTTAACTATCCTGGGTTACCATGGTACGTTTGTCAAAACTAAGAAATTAATTGGTACGCAAAACCTCACTCGTTATTCTGTTTTCGTTAATTTCTCCCTAATGTCCTTCTTCTGTCCCGGGACCCCTCCTGGATGCCACGTTACATTCAGTTGTCATTTCTCCATAGGCTCCTCTGATCCACGACCATTCCTCAGTCTTTCCTTGTTTTTGATGATCCCGGCAGTTTGGAAGATTACTGGTGAGGTGTTTTGAAGAGAGCCCTGTGGATTGGGATTGTCGGATGTCAGACGGGGCTGTGGGTTTCTGGGAGAAAGGGCATGGGGTGAGGTGCCCCCCATCCTCACCTTAACACCTTGCTCTTTGTTCTTTATTGCTCCATTCTCCTGGGCTCTCTTCCTGCCTCCAGTCTGGCCCCATCTTCCCTCCACAGAGCGCATCATGAGAAGTGCCCACCTTCTTAGGCACCTACCTGACCATAAGATGCCTGAGTGGATGCCACATGCCAGGCATTGTCCTCACCCTGAGACCCATAAGATGTCACTGGATAATAGAAATAACAATATCAAATACCTTTTCCTGGGTCCTTGGGTCGTGGAGCAGGGACGACAACCGGGAGCAGGGATGGTCTCCCATGACTGGGTGGGCACTTGGTCTCTCTCTGGTTCCCTCCCTCTGCCCGTGGGTGTTCTCTGCATAGATGATATGTGTGGCCCTCTTGAGGTGTGTTCTGCCTCAACTTGGTCTCTTTTGTTACTGATGATGGCCTCAGAGAGGGACAGCTGGGCTTCCTATCCAGGGGGAGAGTAACAGCACCCCCTGCCCCACTACAAACATGAGGTTCAATTAGCAGCCATGTTTGAGTGAAGCGCATGGCTGGAGGAGGCAGATGTGGGTCAGGAGGGAGTGGGGTGGGACTGGATAAATCCTTTTAGTGCCCTGGACAAGAAGAGACATCTGTCATGCCTCTCCCTATATGTAATTCCAAATAAAAATCATAAAGCACAGAATTTACATGCATGTTGAAATTAGAATAACTTCTTACTTATCTGGTTGCCATCGTTTCTGCAAAGGTTTGTTGATTGTAAATTTTCCTCCTTCCTTCAGCTTTGTCTCCACGCTGCGAAGCCAGGCTCAGGTGGGAGGCCCCTCACTGCCTTCCCAGCACCTCTTCTCCGGGATCCTGAAGGTCAGGAAGCCCTCATTCTCCTCTAGCTCATCCATCGGGGCCACAGAGCCTCTTCGACCATTGAGACCAGTTGTTTTGCAAACCCCACTCTTGTGAAGATCTTGGATGCTTTCCCTCCTGAGAGTAGAAAAGCAGTGCTCAACACCCCCTACCGCCTACAGCCAGAGTTCCTTAGCTGCAGATGGCTCAGATCCTTCAGAAAAGGCATGACCAAGATGCCATAAGGATGGCACAGCCCATCAAAGAGACCACGGGGCGTTCAGAACCAGCCAGAGGCCCACGAAGCAGCCAGCTGCATCACCTCACTCCCATGGTGTGTCCGGCCCTCGCTTCTCCTTCACTGGTGCCCTCAGCCACAGTGCAGGATCCCGAGAGCCCACTGAGTGCATCTCTTCCCGACTCTGTTCGGTTACATCATGTCGATAGCATGGCCATGGTGGGAGTGATTATACCAGAGCAATTAGCAAGCACTACAACCCAGGGCTTCTCTCCCCAGAGCTGGCAGCTGAACATATTCCTGCCTTGAGGGCATGTTTCCCACCGTGGCAAACTGGCATCATGGCTCCTCTCCAAAACACCAGCTCGATGGGGGATCCCCTCTCCTCAAATGCTCCACAGAAACCCCTTCTTTCTATAAATCTGCTACGTCCATAGTCAAGCCTCCTGTGTCCTTCTTAGCTGCATGCCTTTGGGCAAGTCTCTGGGTTTCTCTGGCCCTCTGGTCCCCCATCCGTGAAACAGGGACAGTACTACGTATCCCTTTGGCAGGTGGCATCTACCTGGGCTCTATAATGCCCCTGTGCTGCTGTAATAGTGGACCCGTGGACCATGTGGAGCCTCTCTGCAATGGAAGGAAAAGGTCTTCCTCTTCCTCACCACCCACTCCTCAGGTGGGGCCCTGCCCTATGGACGCGGGGTCTAACCCCCGACCACAGCACAACGAAGGAGGGGCAGTGGGAGTGGCCTGCCCTGGTCGCTGGCAATAAGGGAGCAATTGTCTGTAGAGAACTGATAAAGAACACCAAGACTGACTGAAAGTTGGTCTGCTTTTTTTTAAAATCACCATGTGCCCGTGATTCTGAGGAACATCGATGATAAAATACTCCTCTTCTCTCAGCTGGGGGAAACTCTCCCGCTGCCCATCCCCTTTGGCAGGCTTCTGCTGGCAGCGGCCCATTGTGGGTGCTCAACAGCTAAGAGAGGGACCTGGCTACAGCGAGGCTTTGGACACTCACAATCATGGCCCTTCAGGTCTCTCCTGGGCCCCAACAAACACCTGCTCTCTGGTGTTTGGAGAAGATCCATAGCATTTTCCTGCCTTGGGATCTGTGGTAGATTTCCATGTTTTGCAGCTCATCCCATCAAGTCATGGAAGCAATTTCTCCTTCCATCTGGGCTGGGCCATGACTTGCTTTGGCCAACACAATGTGGCAGGAGTGACGATATGTAAGTTACAAGTCTAGGCCTCAAGAGTTGTGGCAAGTTTCTGCTCTCCCTCCCAGAACCCTGGTGCCACCATATGCAGAAGCCCAGGCTAGATCGCGCGGCCATGGTGGTCAGTGAGGCAATGATGACAGAGACAGAACACCCGCTCTGTCACCCATGTCACCCCAGCCCAGCCAGCTGACACCATGGGTATGAGTGAGGCCACCCTAGACCAGCCACTCCCCAGCTGACCGGCCAGCTGACTGCAAACCCATGAGCAAGCCAGACCGAGATCAGCCATACCTGGTCCAGATGCACAGAATCACTCAGCTGATCAGTGGACTCGAACGCCATAATTAATGTTGGTGTTTGAAACTACTAAGTGGTGGCGTGATTTTTTTATACAGCAAAAGGTGACAGAGATGGTGTCTTGGCTCTTGCTGGTCCCTTCCATCCTCTTTCTCCATGTCTGCATGATGAAATTCTACCTCTTCCTCAAGGCACTTCTTTCAATACAAATGTCACTGGATTTCTCCAGTTGGAATTCATCAATTCTTCCCACAGCTCTTGTTTCCTCAGTTCCTCTTTTTTGCCATTTTCTTTCCCTTGGGTGTATCTGTACACAAGCCCTCATCGAGGAGGAATATGGGGCCTTGATCATCACTATAATGTCTCAACTACCCAAGATGCAGTAATCTTGAGATTCCCAAACTCGAATTAAGAGAGGGGTCACTTGCAGAGCTGGCCAGTCCGGCACTTCCCTGCCCACTGCCAGAGATTCTGATTCATGAAGTCTGGGGGGGCGGGGGGGGCCAGAAATCTGTATACTTAACAAATACTGCAGGGGATTCAGATGCAGGTAGTGTGTGGACCACACTTAGACCAATTGTACAGCATGGAAATGTCCATGAACTAAACACAGGGGCACTTTCAGACCCTGGGGAGCCAAGGAACTTGCCCAAGGTCATAAGGACGGAGAGTGATAAAGCCAGGATTCAGACCCAGTGCCAGAAAAGTGTGAGCATACTCTGTACAAATTCTCTGGGAAGGAGAACACACCCTGCGGGTCACTTGTACAGTTCCAAACTTTGTGGGCTTTTTTCCTGTAAAGAAGATAAATGATTTCAGGACCTTGAAACAGCTATTTCTGGGAGAATCTGTGCCAGCAGACAGCCCTCCTCCTACTCAATCAGACTTCTGCCCTGCCCTGGGAAGATGTTGGACTAACTTGCCAGATATTGCCTGCACCAGCCCCGATGAAGAATCACCTTCTGCCCAAACACTGAGAAAAATGGAAAGCTCAAGTTCAGAGTCTGCCTTCCCCCTCCCCAGGTCCCCAGAAAGACAGCGAGGATGAGGTCTCAGAAGGAGCCAGGTGTGGAAGGAAAGGAAGACCATCCACATGAGAACAAGCCAAGGCTACTTATCCAGAGTTTTCTGTAGCAAGGGGGCCAGCCACCACCGCTTGCCTTTGGCAGAGGCTCACAGGCAGGCAGAGGAGCAGGATGCTTTCTAGTGAGAAAGAGAAGGATCCAGGGGTGCCCCGATTGGAGGTGTGGACACGGGGGAGCTGGAAGTGGGGGCACCCTTTGTGATTGGTTAGGGGAGCATATTTGGCTTTCTCTCATTGGTCCTAGATTGGAAGGGGGACACATATTAGGGAAGATGGCAGTTACATCCAACCATTGATCACATTCCAGTCATTTGGTGCTGATTGCTACAGGAGTTGTGGGTTTGTTTTCTGAACTAGTGGCTGTACATTGTGGGTCAGAATTCTATTTTTATACATGGTTTGGTCATAGCCGTTGGTGTATTTCAAGTCACACAGAATTCAAGTCCCAGGATATTTCTCCTAGCCATTCGGCCCTGTCCTTACTTCTCTCAGAACAATCCAGTGTCACAGTTTCCACAGTGTGTGTAACATGCCTTCCCCTAACCCGCCAGGCTCTCAGCGGCCAGGGGACACGGCTGAGCAGAGCTCCAGCAAAACTGTCGCCTCTTTGGGGACTCCAGAATTGAGCTCTGCTCCCGTTCATGTCCCCATCCAACATCTGAGATGTCCTTGGAGGAAAATCCACCTTCTGAGTCACCTAGAACCCATGTCACCCCACCCCCGACGCCACCCCCATTTCCTCCAACACTGATCAGATACAGTCAATGACCTTTACATTTTCACTCTGAGGAGGGTAATTTTGCACAAAGGACCTCTTGACAGCACTAATTGTGGAATAAACAGACTTCAAGAGACATTCCACACTCTGGCTTCTTTTCATGGGTAATCCTCCATGCTGTTTATGCAAGGAGGCTGGCAGACTTAAGACTTAAGGCTTAAGGCTCCCTGCTCACTGCCCATGTTTGGTGCAGACTTTCCCCCAAGTCCTTTCAATTCAATTTCCAGAATCTTTCTCAGTCCAGTTCCCAACTCTCTCATCCCTGCTGCCCCTACCCCAACCCCAGCCGGCAGCATCTCCCTACCAGGCTTTGCAGAAGCTACCTACAAGGGCCCCTGGGTTAATTTAAATGAGCCCAAGCTACCAAACTCTGTTTGAAAAAAAATTACAAAGGAGTATATTTTTCTTACAAAGAGATAAGAGGGGATGATCAACTTTCTCCTCAGGGCTTAAGAAAGAAATAAGTACTTATTTTTGGAAAATAAAGATCTTTTGTTTTGTTTTGTTTTCTTTATAGTTGACAAACAATGATATATTCATTTCAGATGTACAACATAGTGTTTTGACAATTCTATATATTACACAATGCTCACTGTGAGAAGGATGCCATTTTAAATCTTATTACCAGGGCAAACAGCTAGAACCAGAGATATTTTAGAGGTCATGGGTCATAGTTAAAGCTGCAGTGCAACCATCTGCAAAATTCAGGTGTCTTAGAGAAGACCTTGTCAGATACAGCTTTTGCAAAGACAGTATTAAGATGTAGAATAGTATCTACTTTTCTACAACTGCAAGGAAGGAGGCAACATTTTTTTTCTATCGTGATGAGAATTCTTTCACCAGCAGTTAGAAGGACCTGCAGTTTCCAGATCAAGCATTAAAACTTGATTAGTACACATCGGAAGAGTTTGCCCAAGTAACTTGAAACTTGTGGGGAAAATGAAAGAGGAGAGATCACAACCAACACCGAAGAAATACAAACAATTATAAGAACATATTATGAGCAACTATACACCAGCAAATTAGGCAATCTGGAAAAAATGGATGCTTTCCTAGAAACCCTAGAAACATAAAAACTACCAAAACTGAAACAGGAAGAAATAAAACACATGAACAAACCCATAACCAGCAAAGAAATTGAAGCAGTAACAAAAAATCTCCCAACAAACAGGAGTCCAGGACCAGATGGCTTCCCAGGGGAATTCTACCAAACATTTAAAGAAGCATTAATACCTATTCTTCTGAAGCTGTTTCAAAAAATAGAAATGGAAAGGAAACTTCCAAACTCATTCTATGAGGCCAGCCTTACCTTGATCCCAAAACCTGACAAAGACCTCATCAAAAAGGAGAATTACAGACCAATATCCCTGATGAACATGGACACCAAAATTCTCACCAAGATACTAGCCAATAGGATCCAACAGTACATTAAAAGGATATTCACCACAACCAAGTGGGATTTATTTCTGGGCTGCAAGGGTGGTTCAACACTCATAAAACAATCAACGTGATACATCACATTAATAAAAAAAAAAAGGAACAAGAAACATTTGATTCTCTCAATTGATACAGAAAAAGCATTTGACAAAATACAGCATCCTTTCTTGATTAAAACTCTTCACAGTGTAGGGAATAGAGGAAACATACCTCAATATCATAAAAGCCACATAAGAAAAGCCCATAGTGAATATCGTGCTCAATGGGGAAAACCTAAGAGCTTTTCCCTTAAGATCAGGAACATGACAGGGATGTCCACTCACTCCACTATTGTTCAACATAGTACTAGAAGTCCTAGCCTCAGCAATCAGACAACAAAAAGAAATAAAAGGCATACGAATTGGCAAAAATGTTAAACTCTCACTCTTTGCAGATG